ACAGGAAGGTTGCAAACCCTTTACAGCTTTTTAAGTAATTGTTGAATGTGTCCATTCCAGTTGGGCTTTGCACCTTTAACTCTACAGAAGCAGAGAGACACTATTTCATCTCCCACTCTATTAAGAAGTTTTGAAAATAATGGGGTTCTGACTGTGTGTTAGTAGCTCTTCACAGAGTCAAGAGCGTTTTCCATACCTTCATTTTCTCCAGCTCCTGCAGCCTCTCTTCTAGCTGCTCCTGAAGTGCCTCCTTCTCGTTGGTCAGCTGGGCACAGCGCTCCTTGTGCGAGCGCAGCATCTCCTTACAGCGCTGCAGCAGGTTCTCCTGCCGCCTCACCCTCTGCTTCAGAGCCTCCAGGGTTTTAGCAGGATCCTCACTGCCCTCTACAGGACAATACACCGGTATTATCGTATGCTGGACAAGCTTCAAAACCAAACTAGTATTCAGAAAGGTTTTCTGTGCAATGAAAAAGCTACAATTTATAAACCTGCCTGCTGCTCACAGAATATTCACAGGCAGGAAAAAATGCAAAGCCAAGCAAACCTCTCAAGTGCCAAGCACACAGATTCCTGCTTTCCCAGGGCTGGGTATGACGTCAGTTCTAAAATATCCAGGTTGGCAACACTACATTAAGCAGGATAAAGGCCACATTTAGTGTCTTTCCAAGCTGTATAACCAGCAAATTAGGGAATACTTCACTGTGTGTTCTGCTCTGACACTCTGGAGGCTGCAAGAACACTTGGCATGAAAACAGGATCTGACACCTTCAGAGGTTCTGTTCACAACTACAGTCTTACACACTACAGTCCACAGCAGACTCCAGCACAAGGAACGTCTTTAACCCTGACTTAGGAATGGGATACTTATGTCATCTCCTAAGCACTACAAAAGACATGATGCTAGGTAAGAAAATCTCTGATCTAACCCTTCAGGATATACAAAAATCATGTCAGGTGCTGAACAAAGATCACTTCAAGATGCATGTTCACCTCTGTCTGAACCCTGCCTTTTATGAAGGATACCAACGAATGACACTTTCATTCTACATCAGCATGACAATGTTCCTTTGATCAGTAATCAAACATATACAATACTGGGAGTCATTCAATTCAAATAACTTCCTTCAATTATTCAATTGCATGAATATCAAAATTGATTTTTGCTTCTACTTCTCCCCCGAGATAAAAAAAGAGACTGGCAGCTGGTCTCCTTACTAAACTCCAGGGATTGGTCCTTGCTCATGTGGGACAATTTTTTAATGACATTAAGTGGGGACAGGACCAACCTCTACCAGCAGAAGCAATAATTACAATAGCATCATAATTACTGACAAAGTCAAGATGTATCAGATTGGAATTCTTATGAAAACGTAGTATCTTAAAAGGGTTATTCTGTCCTCTGGCTGCCACACTGTTTTCAAAACAATTGTCTCCTTCTAGAAAATACATCTTCATTACAACATGTTCAGCCCTAAGTATTTTTACTCCATCATAAACAACAGCACACTGATTCCCCAAAATTCAAGATCTCTTGAAAAAGATGCAATACTTACCATTGCTTCCTGGTTCCACAGTATTTTCTGTACTGATTTCTTTTGTTGGACTCTGAACTTGTGGATCAGATTGGGTATTTGGATCAGGCAATTCAGTGCCTGTCTGACCATTTTGTAATCTCTGTTTCAGCAATGATACCTAAACAAAATGTTCTTTTTGTTAAAAACCAAGGATTTTAAGTAGATCATGTTTTCATCTTCAAAAGTAAAGAATTAAATAAAACTGATATTAGCAAGCAGAGAAAGGAAAAAAGCTGTACAAACTTTTTTAGCATTTTTAAAAATCAGAATTGCTTTCAATTCACAAAAATAATATCAGTATGAGTGGAGAACCAAAGACCAATTAAGCAAAACACACAAATTCTGCCAAAGCAACTTTACCTCAAATACCTGCTAACGTTATTTTCTTGATAACAGAGGCATTACAAAGGTATTTAAGTGCAGATTAAACAATCATATTCAACATAAGAGACTTTACAAAGGAAAACATTACAAAGATATCTTCCACAGCAAAGATGCACTCAAATTCTAGCTGATCATAACTTCTCAAGAAGCTTTAAAACACTGTAGTAATTACAACAAAAAATGGACATGCATTATAGGAAATAGATAATTTAAGAAAAAAAGTAGGAGGAACAGTTCTACAGAACATGTGTTGGGTAAAGGATCTTACCTGAGTCTGCAGGACACTAATAAGTTGATCCTTTTCTTCTAAGGAAGCATCAAACTCCTCTTGGAGATGTTTCTTAGCTTGTTGATCCATCTGGAGCTCCTGAGAAATCAAAGCATCTCAAAAATGAGAACTGAAATGTGAATTTAAAAGGCTTATCAAAATATTAAGAAATAATATTGAAAATACCTCTTTGCAATTGAGAGTCAAGCACAGAACCATACAGTGGGCATTTCTTTTACAATACAACATTCCACATAACATAATAATAACCCATTATAATACCAGCACTTAAAACAGCAAAAGTCTGGATTTGATGCAAAATTATCAGACTCTTCCCAAAAATAAGTTTGTGTAGGGATCACTTCAGGCCTGCTCCCAAAAACTATTTTCCAAGCACACACTTCTCCTGGAATTTGCAGACTGCACTTGTGTAAACTAGATTTGTCATTTAGCCACCAGACTAAGTCAACATAAAGAGCAGAAATGTAAATCTCTCTCATGCTCATTCAATACACTAGCACTCTAAGATGAGAAACGCCATTTAGAAGAGCAGACAGTTGGATTTTTATTCCTAAAACCTGTCTCAAATCAGAAAGCCTGAAAATGCCAAAGAACATAACTAAGCAGCTTTACTTGCAACTTACTTGCATTTGTTTGGCTGAACACTTTTAGAAACTTGTAGATGTTGACTAAATGCATTAGTAGGAACTACATAATCCTATGAAATATTGCCTTAGTGAGGTTTCTTTCATTTACTTCCTATGCTTTTCAAGATTGAATATTTGCATTTCTTTAAATCACTATTGTTCTAACAGAAAATAAATTTAAGTTAAAATTATTTCACAGTGCTTATTGAGAAAATCAGAACCATACACAGTTCATGCATGCACTGTAACTGATTTCCCAAGCTTGTATTTTGTTATTTATGTGTTTGCTTCATCTACACATATCTTCCCAGTGATATACCCCAGGAAACTAATGGTTCTTGCAAGAATCACTGGTATAAAACCAAACACCACCCACAAACATGGGTTCTGTTGGCAAAGTTAGAGGGCAACAGTAAGAAAGGATGGAAGAGCAAACAAGAGACAAAACACAGGGCACTGGATGCTTCCTGTGTTGCTTTCCCCCAACTCTTTCTCTCACTTTCATCATCTCTGGCTGCCTATCCCTCATCTCTAGCAGTGAATCCCAGCTGCCACAGCTGAGCCTGCCCAGCACTTCACAGGCATCACTGGGAAAACTAGTCCTCTCTCTTCCCAAGTAATTACATCCACTTTTTAACCCTGAATTGCCTCAGGTTCTCAGCAGCACTTCTGCCTCACGCTTCTGAGCTTTAGAATCAAATCCTTCCAGGCAAAGCAGCCCAGCTCAGTGTAAGATCAACTGCCAAAGAGATTTACTGAAACCAACATAGAAACTTTGGATCCTCTTTGGGTCCCAAAGCCCCTTCAGATCCTTGCCTGAGAAGGAGAACACTGAAGACTGCTGCTGAGGAATTAATCTTAACAGGGAAAACTGAGGTAAGCTAAAGACACACTAATTTCCAGGGGCTATTTCACACCATGAACTTGGCCTCAGAGGAGACTTAGTTTATTCTTACATGGTCCTTTTAGAAGGAACTTGTCCAAGTCAACATATTTATGGGGAAAATGGATTGTATGATGAAGAAAAGGATTTTTTAAAATTTACTTCTGACCACAAATTAATATGATTAATGCTACTCTGTAGCATTTTAGCTTCCACAATGGCAAGGTACAATTTTATGTGTAATTTTTCTTTTAAGCCTGTTTTACCCAAAGCTGTTAACACTTGTGCTTCCAAATGACAAACTATTTTTTGAAGTTTTTCAATTACTATAAAAAGAATTCCAGTGTTAGATTTGAAGGAATCTTTAAACCTACAAGATTTATAAGAATTTTACACTGAATATATATACAAATGTCTGTGTATATATATATACACACACACACACACACATCAGCAAAAAAATATAAAACACATCTATGTGAAACAGAAGGACTATGACAGCAGAAGTGAAAAGTATGCACACATCCAATCCTGTTTTCATAATCACAAGGTTTCTCTCTGGTGTGCCTTCCAAACTTCAACAAGTATCAATAAAAACTAAACCTACTGGAGTATGAGGATATAGACTTAACACAGAATGAGCTTCTTTCATTTGACCTTGAAGTGAACTTGGAGAAAACAAACAAACAAACCAACCCACACCCCACAACCTGGCACTTCTGTCAGCAATGCTGAGAGTCTTCCCCCTCCTATGGGCTGAGTTTAGCTTAGGACAGGGACCTCACCATGGTCCTACCTAATGTTATGTTTGAAATCAAACTATACTGCAATTCCACAAAAACAATGTAAATATAACTGAGAACAAGATTCGTTTCTTTTTTTTTTTTTAATTTTATGATCATTTTTTTATTGTTCTGTATTAAAAAACACTTATTCTATTTGCCTAACATTAGTATTTCTCAGAACATTGCACAGTGACATCCACTGCTGGGCCCAACAATACTGTAAGGACCACACACATTCCTACCTATTTCAGAGCAAACTGAAAAGCAGTTTGATCAGTACAATGAACTGCTCTGCCTCAGAGTGTAGCAATAAGCTGCTGCATGAGAAAAATGCCTGAGAAATATCCCCATATAAACAGATGAAAATAAGCACTAAAAAAAACCTGCTGTGGGATGAAAAACATTCTGAAGTGAAGAAAAGAAATAATAAAAAGCTAGGCAGAGAAAGATGCTATGTATGTGTGCTGTAAAGTAAATAATCAATAAAGGAAATTACCTCTCTCAGTTCTCCAATTCTGCGAAGAGCTTTATCCTGACTTTGACTCAGAATGCCCTTAAAAAAGGAAGAATAAGCATCAGGTGTATTAAATATAACTTTATAAAGTATAAATAAATTAGAATTTTAGCATAAGATTTAATGACTTGTATTTCCCTTTTAAGTAAAGCTTGAGGTGTAGGTATTATCCTAACCTGCCAAGCATGGGCTGGCAATCTGTCACCTGAATTGATGCAATAAAACAGGCTGGAGCACAAGAGCTTCACAGTTGTTCTGACAAACCAGTATTAGCCTGGCTTCCTTAGAAATCTCAGCTAAGAAAGAGCCTTTTGTCATACACACACATATATACACACACAATGCTAATTAATAATTAAATCTCAGTTTGCACCCCACATCTAAGATTGAGAAAAGCACCCAGGAAAGGGAGGATGAAGAGTAATGCTCACCTGTAGCTTCTTCTTCTCCCGCTGGATAACTTGATAGGCAGACACCAGCTAAAACACAGAAATCAGGTGTAATTATGATAATGCATCCATTTACAGCTACCAAAATAATTCACCCAGTGATATCACTATCTGCATTTTCAAACTCTTCACTTCAGAAAGCTCATCTGAAAGAAATGTAATTTTTTTTCCAGTTTCTTTTTTTCCCTTTATAAAAACCTCTGATGTGTTTAGAAAGGAAACCCTACAGGACAAAATGATGAGGTGACTCAGTGTTCATGCAGTTTTCCCTTCACTGAAAAGATTTCTAAGAAGAGCCATGCTTCAATACAGGCAGTGAAGCTCCAGCTGTATCAGAAAGTTACATCCCAGACAGCTGCCCCATGGGGATGTACATTTTTAAGCATGCACATCCCAGAAAGCTTAAGTAAAATAATTTTTACAGTGAGTATTCATTAAAAAATACACTTATAAATCTAGTTTAAAAAAGACTGTGTAATACTGAATGTTCTCATCTCATGTGTTTTGCATATACCCAGCATAAAAGGAAAGACTGGAATTGGACAATATTTCTCATTATAAGCTGACAAAAGGACTTCATGAGCAACTGCACAATTTAATTAAAAATTTCATCACAATTGCCTAAGCTGTCCAAAGCTGAAGTAGCATAATTGCAGTTGGAACTAGAATATTGTTTCCAAATTGCTGAAAAATTCAAGGAAAACAAATACAAAACACCAAAACCAGAAATCTTTACATCAAAAGATAGCTTCACATTCTTATTTAAAATAAATTAGGATTTTTCAGAGTTCAACGTGACTCTTAATTTTAAAGGCACAGTTATTTTGCACTTAAAACTAGAACTACTATGGATGGTTTCCCTTAGCGTATGTTTGAGCTGCTGACTTTGTATCCTACTTCAAGTGGGAAAAAAAAAAAAATTACTACATCTTAAATACTCACGATATACTGAAAATACTTTCCTCCAAGCTCCAGCAAAAAAATTATTTCCAGATGAACTAAGAAACTCAGAAATATTAAAAAAAAAAAAAAAAGCCTTTTTGATAGAGAAATTATTTACACACAGGAGAAGGAAAGGATTTCCACATCTTATTATCAGAAAAACATTTGACTTATCTAGGCTCAAAATAATTAGACTTACAATAATAATTTAACTCCCATGCTAGCTGTGAAGTTGATCCATTTGTTCCAGATTGGAAAACAGATTATCCATTGCCCCTCTCTTCCAGGTAAGTCAGTCACAACGTTGCCTACCTCTGAGTACTTTCCCCTGTAGTTGCCCAGGCTGCGCTCCATCCTGCGCAGTCGCTGCAGCAGCTGCTCTTTGCTGAGGCTGTCCATGTTTCCTGGAGGCTCTTCTGTCTCACTTTCAACGTCAGAAGGTGGGTCAAAGGTGGGGCCAGGTGAGTCCAAGTCCAGTCGGTTCAATGAGTCTCTTGAAGAAGTTCGTACCAGGGACTCCTTGGAGGACGAGCAGAACAGGGTCTCCTTCACTGGGCTTCGAAACAGAGACTCCATGGAGGGAACTCGGAGCTGGAGCCTCTGGGCCAGAGACTGAGTGTCAGCCAGCTGCAAAAATCCAAAGCAAGTCGTTATTTCTGCACTGCTTGGAGGCAGGCACACTAGAACCCAGGAATCAGAGACCTGACCTGGGCAAAGGAACGACTGTTGCCCAACACACGCATGACACCAAACAGCCACCGCTCCCTTGGAAGAACCAGCTCCTTGTGCAGAAAAATCAAGCATGCATCTACCAGATGTGGGCACCTTATGGCAGCAACTAAATCCAATAAACTACAGCTTTAATTTAAACTCCTAAAAAAATGATTTCTGTGTAACCCCTTTAAAAAGTGATATGTGACTAAAATAGTTCCATTTACTCTTGTCCTGAATTTTAAAGAAAAATATTGTGTTGACTCACTTCTTGATGGATTAAACAGAAGACTGTATTTATCTCAAAGACACAGAGATATTTTCCTGTGATTAAAAGAACAAATTTCTTGTAAAAGCCCTTGCACGACAGTTCTAGCATGCCATTTTAAAGCCTTTCAAAAGAAAAATAAGAGAAGAACTGTTTGTGATTTTCACATAAAATGCAATTATTGATTCATGCAGCTAAAGTACTTACAACCATTCTAAACCAAAAGCTTCTGTGCTGTGGAATCATCTACTGCTGGTGCTACAGAAGTGATCTGAAAGCACTACTGCCCAGCATACCTAATACCAGCTAATGGGATTACACACAAACCAACTTCAGCCAGTGTAAGAGGAAACACACCTGGGAGGAGGCTGGTCCACTGCCATTGTTTTCTGTGGATCTGGGAGGTGGCTGCTTAGTTAAATTCTACAAGAGGAAAACCAACTGTTAGAAAGAATAAACTACAAGAACTGTGATGCATCAATTCCTACCAACAGCATCTGTGCTTTTCCTTGCCTGTGTTTTTAGTACTTTCTTTTGAATGTTTATTAAGATGTCTTCATGCAAACAAGCTAGTTGGTTAAATCCCAAACAGATTGCTGCAATATACAGAACTACAAAGCAGTTACGTGTGCGTGGATTAGTAGGAGACATCTGCAAGTGCTGACATCTCCAATTAAATTATTCATACTGATTATTTATGTAGCAAAATGCACAAATCAAAGAAACACCAAAAAAGAGAAAATGATAGCAGGAAAAAAATCTGATGACCAGTGTTGTTCACAGCCAACATGAGTAGCAGTGGAATCAGGTCATCTTTCTCTGTTTAAGGACATTTTAGGTAAGTGGGATGGTGTGTGGAAACTACCTGGAAAAAAAGTGCTAGTAACAGGCTGTTTAAGACTCCATGCAAGCACGGGAATAAAATCAGACTTTCAGAAAAAGCATCCTGAGCAAAATTTCATGTGTACATTCCTCTGCATTCCTAAAGAAAAGCAACAACAAAAATCCACACAAAAAAAAAAAACCAAACCAAACACAACAGAAAACAAGAGTTTTGGGGTTGAGCTGGTTGGTTGGTTTGGTTTTTTTTTCCCCCTCCAGAGTTCAGACATTTCTGTTCCTAGACTGTCTATCCTGCTTTTCCTTTGTCTTGTGTCCAGGTGTTTTCTCACCTGTACAAATCCAGACCATTTTCTGGTGTGTAAATCACATCAAACTGAAGTAGCAAAACACAACAGAAAACATCCTGGAACAAACTTAAGGATGTACAAAAATACCACGGAAGAAAGAGGCATACAGACAGCTAAAATAGCCAGAGAAATGAGCAGTCACCCAGACCCAAAGTGAAATGAGCAATAACCAGCCATACAAGAAGTGTGTTTAATTTGGAAACTGTGCTTCATCTGGCTTGAACAAAACCTGATTCTGCTTCAGAGCACGCTCCTGTTCCGGTGGATTTATTCCTAGGGGATTAAGAGCTCACACGAGGTTTTAGACTAAAGCACTCCTACATTTTACTCTCAGCTCCATTACTTTTTCATTTCCTAATTGAAGAGGTAATAATAAGGGTAATCCAAATAAAAATATATCTTCTGTTTTATAATTTACAAAGCATCTACCTTGTTATTACTGACAAATACTTTTCCAAGAATTACAAACTAACTACAAACACTTATTTCAAAAATCATATAGTCTAATTCCCATAAAAAGAACTAAAGGAAACTGGGTGGTTTGTACATAGTAATTTTATAGTATTTAAGATTTATTTTAAAACACAAGATTAAGTAGATTTATTAGATGTAATGAGGTGTTTATGAATATAAATATAATGAATGTTGTTCTTTTCTGTGAAGATTCTTTAAACCTGCCATTTAAGGATCTATGAGGAGCCTTCAAAGAATGCCATTTGAAAACTAAAACTCACATTGTCACTTTTAAAATTTTCCTATTACTTGTGCTGACGTTTTTGTAGAAAAAAAAAAAAAGTAGAACCTATCCTTGGGGTTAGCTTTTCTATTGGCATAAATCATAAAAGGGATCCACTGGTCATCTTATATATAAAAACTGGATCACCACAGGTATTGAGCTGGTAGAATTCTAAGTCCCTGTGCTCTAGGGCAAAGGGTCATTTTCTGGTGTCCACACAGTGAAAAGCAAACATGAATGGAAGTTGCTATATATAAGTATGGAGTCAAGAGGCTTTGAAGAGCTTAAAAGCCCCAGCCCTTCCTAAGCCTGAAGAGATGTTTCAGCAAAACTAGAATCACAGAGCACAAGCCAGTGCTTTGAAAGGCTTAAAACCAGCACAGTTAAATCAGGGTTTCTGGAGCCCAGCAGAAGCCTTTCCTCCACAAACCCACAGAACACACACAACTTTTTCTGTGTCCAGAGAGCTATACTTACAAGCTCTAATAAAAAGGTTGCTTTTTGTTGTTAAGATGTATAAACCAGAGCTCAATTTTAACTGGAGAATATTAAGGTGTTGTAGTGACGCTTGTGTGTTTCTTTACTTCACTATTTCTGATATGCAAACAAATTCATCTTATCAATTTCTCAAAAGGTATATGTAGATTTGTAAGCCTATAGAGTGAAAGCTCAAACATCTGCATTTAAAAACATTTTACTGCTCTCCCTCCCTCTCAGGTATTTCAAAATTGAATAAAATATGACAGAAGGACACAGAGCTTAGTACACATTTTCTTCCCATATCTTTTAATTTTTCTGAAAAAAAAAAAAAAAAAAACACCAAACCTCTGTGCAAGAATATTTCAACTGTTTTGTCAAGCAACAACACCCATGCAGCTTTGATTAGTAGAGTTTATACTAACTTCTTCTACATCAAAAAAATCCATAATTAGTCACTTCTCTATGATGCTCACTATTGCATTGCACACAAAGGTAAAGTACTAGTGTAGTTTAGCAGAACTAATGCAAATTGTGTGTTAATTAAACTTTATCTCCCCTGCATCTTTACCTACATTTCCCAAATCTATGTTTTAAAATATCTATTTATATATGAATCAGCCTCTCTCTTCCCTATAAAACTTTTCTAACATTTTTTTCTCCCCCCAGTTCTTACAGTGAAAGTACAGCTCTAGAGCTTTAAAAAAGTTCAGACAATAAAATCAGTTTTACAGGTTGCTTTATTAATACACATATTAACTATATGTGTATTAACATTAATTAACACTAATGATATTACAGGTAATCCATTAACGATAACTCTTATGTTATAATTATTTCCTACACACAAAGTCTTGTATATAAATATGCTAGTCAGTGATTCCTGCTATTAAAGTATAAACTAAAAGATAAAGATAACATTTGAGCATTCGCAGAAATATGTTTTTCAAAATGCAGCTCTGCTAGGGATATTCTGTAGTGTAGTAAAAAACAGCCCACAAGTGTTTACTGCTGTAAGTGTAGAAAAGCTTCATTAAATTTGCAGTGATCATTGGACCTGGAATATGGTCAAAATACCCAGAACTGAAAAAATAGGGGGAAAAAAAAATTAAAAATGCAGTAACAATTTCAAAATCAGATTTCAGCACAGCCTGAATTTCCTCTTTGCTCCCCATTAAAAGCTCAATCTTGAGAAGATCCCAACAGAACCAGTCGTGAATCTGTGCTCTAAGGGCATGCTCTAAACAAGCAAAACCCCTTCCACAGATCAACTTTTTAATCACTGTTTCAATCCAATCTTGCTTAGCTTTAGAGAAACAAGCCCAGCACATCACAGTGTGTTGTACTGTGTCCACTCATCTATCCTGGTCCAGCTTTCAGGGACTTGACATTTGCAACCTCTGCATGAGCAGGGAAAAAAAAAAAAAGCACTTGCTGAACTGGAAAAGCAAAGTAATCATCAAGTGTGAGGATGAGCTGGGACCCTCAAAACCACTGTGTTTTGAGTCACTTTGGAGTCAGGAATGCCAGGCCTCTGAAGCATGTGAGTGCTGCCACATGCGAGGCCTCTGAATTATGTGAGTCCTGCCACACAGCCAGTCCCGTGACACTACAGAGAAGAATGCAGCTCTAGAGATATGTTAGAAAGCAGAAGGCTGCTTTCCTCCCTGTGCCTGCTTCTTTTTCTCCACTCCTTGTCCTCTTCCACCTGAACTTCTTTACTCGTATACTATGAAAATGACTTTTCCAGGTAGAGAAATATACATTTAAAATAAAATCTAGTTATTAAAGCAAGGGCTATTTATCCTTACAATAAAAGCTGCCAGGTTACCAACTAGAAGTACCTGAATTTCAGTGTCTATGTGAGATAATTATTTCCTGCTACCATTAGTAGTAAGTGACATTGTGAGGCTTTCACTGTACACAACAGAAAGCATGTCATTTTTAAGACAAAAACAAACTCAACGTTGATCATATCCATTTATCTTGAAATACATACAACAAAGCACAAAAATGAAGAGGAGGACTTCCAGTGGCATTAACGAATTCTACGCGACAAACGAACCAACTTGTGCAACAATTAATTAAAAGTTGTGTAGAGTATGGTTACCTGTGTGACAGAAAACGTGTTAATTTTCTCACGTTACAGTAAATTCACACCATACAGCACACCAGCCAGGAGCTACCAGGTACTACCTCAGTGAAATTTAGTGCAGGGTTAGCAACGGGGTAGTTAAGATAGATGCCTTTGTGAGAACAAGCCACAAGCAACTCTAGGTTTGCCTTCTAGTAGAGGACTCTCCTCCCCCTGCTAAGGCATCGCTAAGGGGGATGGGAGGACTCACCACACTGTCACTCTGTGGCTTAGGTTGCTTGGTGGGATCCAAAGCAAAGATAGTATACTCAGAGAGAAAAGCAGGTTCTGCTATCATCCCGGCTAGCAGCTGTCATTCAATGCAAAAAGTAGGAAAATGAAAATAAAACAAGTAATAAGGTAAAGCAAGTTGCACGATTTTCCTCAATTTTTCCACGCTGTTGAAAACGTCATGAAACAACACAGCAGTTCATGAGACAACAGATATTGAGAAAGTCAAGGCATAACCAGAAAATAGACTTGAAATCTTTTCAGAACAGTCAAAATACAATTTTGATCATTTAGAAGAAATACACAATTAAAAAAAATACTGTAGTTTAGCCATATATAATAGAGTGCTTCTTTTTGTTTATAAAAGGCACTTTCCCACAGAAATGCCACTTTCTTCAGTCCTCCCTAAAAGACAATGTTTCAGGCATTGATCTTGTAACTTTTATTTTTAAGCTTCTGTGGATGACATCTTTGATTTCTGTGTGTGTGACTGTTACATTGACTCCACTGCTCCAGGAGATGAATTACATAAATTCAAATGGAGAAAGGAAAGATGTTTTCACATGTAAGGTCTGGAATGCTATGTAACTTGCAATTTGTGCCCAAGAAACCCTTTCAGAAGATGTATTAAGCACTTAATGTTCAGTGACAGCCACACACAATAGCCTCTGAATGTCAGTACTGACTCCCTATTTCTTTATCTAATGTATTTCTATACCAAAAAGACCCAAATAATTACTGAAAAACCTGAGTAACTTGAGACCTGAATTACCAATCCTGCAGAAAATAAAGCAAAATAAAAACCTAAGCAATGTGCTTTTATTGCCTGCCTCAATTCACTCTATTATATGCTTACATATACACACACATCCCTAGTACAGCAGCATCCACTGCTGGAGAAGCCTGCTAGTTCTGTCAGAAGATTTTCTACAGCTACAAAGGGAAAGAAGTTCCCCTTCTATGAATGACTTCTCAAGCCATTAAGTACAGTGACAATTAATTCTGACTTCTGTTATTCAGCTGCTGCTGTCACAGCAATCCCAAAGCTGGCGTGGGACACACGCTCCAATAGTTTAATATATTCACCAAGAACTACCTAGGTCTGATAAACTCATGTGAAACTTCTCAGTTTTAAACTATTACACTAGCTGCTAATAAAAGAGAGAGGTCCCATTTCTCCTGTTCCTTATCCTCTTCCCCCTGGCCAAGACACACTTGCCCAGTGCATCCACTGTGGTTGCAACCACACGTTGATTTTGGTCAGTGGTGAGCAGTCCTCCTCCCTCACCCTGCCAGCAGCATAACTCTTAAGAGTTACCTGTGTTAAAGCTCCTGCTATATATTTATTTGAGTTTGTAAAACCCATACAAAGTTTCTTTCCTCATCTGAGCTTTTAGGCAAAACAAATAAGGAAGCTGACAAGTTAATGATTCCAGAAAATCTTCCTCAAGTGGCAATGGTTGAAGAAATTACTGGCTTTAGCCCTGCTATGCATTTTGTACGTGTGCCTCCTGAAAGGGTGTCTGCTAGGAGAAGTGGCAAACCCTCTGAAAGCACAAGTGTACAAACATACAGCAGCAGTACTACAGGCAAGACTGACGACCTCGTGAATTAGAAGCATGCAAATTCTCAACCACAAACAAAATGATGAAATCTTTAAGCTAAAGATTACTTGGTATGCTTTAAAGGCAACCAGTTAAGATGATGAAACACAGTTTGCAAAGCAGTCACAAATGGATTATGGCAAATATCATTAAACAAAAGATTATGAGCATTTTCAACGTGTGACATACATTGTCTTCAGCTTAATTAAGTCACTTTTAAAAACATGACCATCAAGAACTTCAGGAAACACATATGGTTCAAATTATCTCTTCATAATAACACTGATGTTTGCATCTCAAAATACTAAGTTGTGACATTTCACCATAGCATTATTTTGCTTAATCCTAATTGCATTAAACAGTACACCAAGCAACTTGCACTAAAAAGAATTCCTATTTAATCCCCAACAAGTTATTGTTTTTCACTCCAAATAAAAACAAAAAATTGGACTGTCTGTATGTTCAGTATCCATTAATTGTTATATTTGCAGCCATCCCCTGAAGTCCATGACCACATCAGTGCAGCCAAATTCTAACAGCAGGCTTCAACAGTACACCTTCCACAACACATTCAGTGCAAAATCCCAGACTTGCAGGTAAGATGACAAAGAGCTTTAAACAATGAAATTTATTTTTAAAATTCACCTGGTAGGCAAGTGACAGTACGTGAAACTCACTTTTATCAAGATCAAAGGATCCAAGCTACCCAGAGCCTAAAATATCCCAATCAATGTTACTAACTGTTATGGTTTGGAGGAAAAGAAAAAAGCTTATGAATATAATGTTCTAGTACCTGTGAAACTCAACAGTATAGTTCACACAAACAGCAGAATGTCATTGAGAACACTGTTGGGTTTCACAGACATTAGTCAAAACCCTGATGCAAGAACTGAGTCATCTCAGCTTCACTCCACTGTTGCTCAAGGGAAGGAGCCAAGCCTACAAATAAAGAAGGGCAGGAGACAACAACGCTGAGGCAGAACAGTAATCACTGTATCAAAATGAAACTGCAAAATTTTTCCTCCCCAGCAGCCAAGACAGGAGTTTCACATCTCAAATAGCTACCAAAGACAGAATATATTCAGTCATGGTCCAAAAGGGGCATTTCCTTAGCACACCTTGAACTGGCTGCATCTTCTCATTAGTGAGTTCATCCTTCAGCCTCAGATGCTGGGTGCCCAATGATGAAAATATTTAAGTACTTGCTCACAGTGTTTTTGTTGCTCCAGCTTCTCCTTACCTGCTACATTTTTTACGGCTAAACTATAGGCAGAGCTGGCTAATGAGTCCTATAATTACACTACCTAATGTTTTCCAATATATATGTGTGTTTTTATCTGCACTTTTAGGGTTTTTTTAATCAACTATTCAGCACTGCTTTAAAACTAGCTACTTGGTTAACTTTGGGGGGGGTGGGTATTAAAAGCCACAAAAAATGGTTGACCTGCACCTGGAAGAAAGGCAAGAAACAACCTGCTAGCTAGCCTGTCAAAATTAGATATAAATATTTACAGAAGAGATTCGTTTTTATCTGCACTTTTAGGGTTTTTTTAATCAACTATTCAGCACTGCTTTAAAACTAGCTGCTTGGTTATCTCTGGGGGGGTGGGTATTAAAAGCCACAAAAAATGGTTGACCTGCACCTGGAAGAAAGGCAAGAAACAACCTGCTAGCTAGCCTGTCAAAATTAAACAGATATAAATATTTACACAAGAGATTCTTGCACTCCAGAGCAGGTTTTAGGCCAGATCCTGAATTATCTTTGTAACTTCAGAAACATTAGAGGTATCTAGTGCTGCAGTGCCTGCTGGGTCACTAGCACATTAGCCCCGTGCCAGTAACGTGACCAATAAAACTAGACAAGCAGGGAGTCCAACTGGGTGGAAGCATACTGGACACAGACAGTGTGCAAAGATGTAAAGAATCCTTCTACTAACCTTCTCAAATCTTCTGAATGCCATCAAATCACACTTGAAGCTTGCTACAGAAATCCTACTAAGATCTTCCAGCCTCCTGTTTCAAATATACACCAGGGAAAATGAACTTTCTACCCTACATCAACCTAATCTCAGGCACCAAATGTAAAGCTATGGTATTGCTGATCTTTTGTCACAATATTTAACTCCTATTCTCTTTTTCTTTGCAAGTAAAATCATACTAATCAAGAAACATTTCTGTCCTGGAGAGAGTTACAAATGAGGTAAATTAGGGGATGGAATCAGACACCAGCTGATGCTGTTTTCTTCAGTATTACCAAAGAACAACACAAAGGTTGTTGGTTTGTTTTTGTTTTGTTTTGTTTTAACAATCTTTGTATTTCCAAAATACTGAACAGCTTTTGGAGCCCTCAAGTTTGGCCTAAATTAAGCAGCCTTACTTGTGGCCTTTCTGAACTCCAGAAACAACTGTGTTCCTATTATTCCTGCTACTCCTCCTCCCTCTGAACAATCACCATGCTCCAATCTTCCTTCACTGAGGAGTGGGTCACAGAGGCCCAGGTACATATGAGTCCAAGATCAAAGGGCTTCCTTAACATGCTGTGAACCAAAGTCCAGAATTTAATATGAATTAAGAGCTTGACCCAAGTCTCATTGCTCTGGAGATGGCAGTAGCTGAATTACTGCACATTACATACTCATAACACATGTGTGATTGCCCACAGCAGTCATTCTCTTATTTTTTTCTAAAAGGCAATAATCAGTGGTTCCAAATTTCAGATCAACCTGTTATCAAGCCAATTTGATAACTCATACACTTTGTTAGCAAAGTGCACCATGGTATATGTACATCTCTAGGATATTAATGCTTAAAAGCTTCTATATCTGCAAGTGGACAGCTTTGCTATATTGTGTATAAGCACAGTAAGAGAGAGAGAAAGAGATTAGAGGAACTTGCCTAAGAGACAAGCCAATACTTGCTCACTTCATTCAAGGAGCTGGGTGATGTCAGCTATTGGGCTGCAGGTTTAGAGTTTCAAGTCTTACTGACAAGTAACTCGCTCCCCACAGTAAAATAAATAAATTGGTTATTTATTCAAGTTGGGGAATTCCAGAAAAAAAAAAAAAAAGGATTTGTGGTTTGAAACATAACCCTTTATGTCTCATCTCTGCTGTGATCAGGGGATAGCAAAAACCTGAAGGAAGAGCTGAAACTTCAAGGTTTCTCTCTGCAATTAAAGTCCCAGAGTCTAGGGGTGCAGAACAGCATTTTCAGAAAGAGGTAGGACAGAAGTCAAATGCAACACATTTCTGGCTTCTTATTTTCTCTGATGAGCAATCTAAACATGCTGGTGTACACATAAAGAGTTGTAAAATCCAGGCTTTAGATACAAACTAGGTTATATAACCTCCACAGTTTAGTTTCAAAATTGCACGTTGGAAAGGAAAAAGATCCAGACATAGCTGAACCACTGCCACCTTTGAATGGCAATGTCTGTTTAGAAGTACTTAAAATTAAATGTGTC